TGCTCATTCAGTAGCCGATGCAGGAGAGGGCCCAGAACTATAGGGCTAAGGGAGAGCGCGCACTCTGGGATGGGCAGAGCTGTGACTATTGCCAAGAGTGCTGGTTACGGTTTGTAGCAGGGTGGTTACCCGCTCCAGCCCTGACAGGGTAGAAGCCAGCCCTCGGAGAGGGCTAGGGGCTAGGAGAAAAAGCCCAAGCTGATTGGGGAAGAAGCTACACCTGGGCCATGCCCCAATCAGGGCAGCTGGGCCTTATAAGAAGGTCAAGGCAGCCAGAAGCAGAGCAGTCTCTCCTCTAGAAGTGGAGGGAGACCGGCCTGGCTGCAGGGGAGTAAGAAGGTACCTGGGAGTGAAGCAGGGCTGGGGAGAGCCAGGGGAGCAGGGGAGCTCCAGGCTGGTGACTCCCCAGGCTGCAGGGCCTGGTTCCAGGCCCATAGAGGTACTGGGTGGTAGAAGAAGGCAGCAGGCCAAACTCCCTTGCCTGTGATGAGTGGCTCTTACACTGCAGTCTGCCCCATTGAGTGGGCTAGGTGAGGACTGGCAGTAGCCCAGACTGAGGCGAGGTGGGGGTAGTGGGGATTCCCCGGGGAGGGGAGACCCACAGAGATTTTTGGGGTATTGCCAGGGGGCAGCACCTCCAGAGAAAATGGGCACCGGGGTCCAGGGGGGACACAGGGCCCAGTTGTGGCAGATCACCGGCCTGCAGAAGGCGCTCCAGGCTGGAAATTGAGCTCATTCCCTGAGAGACCAGCAGGAGGCGCCACAGGGATGAGTCCGCATGCTTACAGGGTTATATTGCAACTTGCTGTTGAAAGCTGCAGTCATTAGCTGAGCTATTGCAGCGCCACCTACTGATCTGGTAGGGATAGAACAACTTAATCCATGTTACTCTGGCACATTTTCTATTGTGTGCTGTTAGGGTACATTTTAAGTAAAAGTGTGTTGGTTTTATTTTGCTGCATAAGATCCATTATTGATATTTTTGGTCCTGGGGCAACCGAAGTACAAACACAGATGTATTCAGTGCCTGTCCTGGTGGAGGCACCACCAACTATAAATATTCCTATCAGTAAAAGAACGACTGCAGGATTCCACCTAATTTCCCATCTCAGCTGGGACCCCCAGGATCTCCATTATCCTTAATGACGTAAGGTGCCCAGACAACAGGTGAGAGTTGCCTGCTCTCAAGTAACCCGGGAAGGAAAGTGGGAGGTTACAAATAATACAAAATAAAATTCATAATTTGATACCGATGTATCCCACTGTCACAATAGCACCTACCTGCCTCCCGCACGTGGCACCAAAATGAAGTGTCAAACCCCATAGATTGTGCAGCTCTGTGACTCTCCCTCTCCTTTCCAAGGGCTTGTCTACACTAGAACGTACTTTGGTATAACTTACATCTCTCAGGGGTGGGAATAATCCACATCCCCTAGCCACATAATTCACATCAATTTAAGCACCAGTGTAGACAGCGCTCTGTCGGTGGGCGAGCGCCTCCCATCGCCATGGTTACCACCTCTCACGGAGATGGAGTTATGCGGATGGGAGAGCTGTCTCCCCTCTGTTTAGAGCCTCTTCCCCAGACGCGTTACAGCAGCGCAGCTGCAATGGTGCAGCTGTGTCGATGTAGTGCTTCTAGTGCAGACTAGACTGTGCAGCAGTGACATCATTAGCAATGTTGACATTTAAATTACTGTCATTGGGCATCTCGTTTAACCCCTTATGGAGATGAATGGGGCACTTCAGACCTTTCTGGGCTATTGTTTCTGCAGATTCAGGTAAACCTCACTGGAGTAGTTACACTTGGGTCACATTTTATTCTTCACAACCATGAGGGCTAGAGACTTAATCTGAAATGAAAGCTGAGATTCTAGAGAACAAGATGGCAGCTAAAATGAAAAAAAATCTGGTCAACAGCCCAGTATGACCTGGCCCAATTCATGCTCTAGACATGCTTAAACTGTGGAAAGATTTCCTAGCCTGTCTGTTAGTCACTCTGTGTTTGGAATTTTGCAGGTATCACACTGTTGGACAGTGCGGCTCTTAGAAAGAACGTGGATATGCAAAAACAATACAAGACTGAATTTCAGGTAATTGCATCTGACACCATTGCGGCTAAGGCCTCTGCACTCCAGGCTGGTGAATCGCTGAAGGCCAGTTTCCTGTGTGGTTTAGTTGAAATGAATGGATCTGCTGTATATTTAAGTGACACCAGGAAATCCAGACATCAGGCCCGAGTGACTCTCCAATACAAAATGACAACGAGGTCTGAGCATCTGACAATGAACTATTTAGGACAGCAGGTCTCTTATCCTGCTGTATTCGACCAAGGCAAAGCAACCCATGTGGTCACGGCTGTGTTGTACGGGGCTCAGGCTTTCTTTGTGTTTGATCGGGAAGTTTCTTCACCTGAGAGCATAGAAGAGATACAGGGAAAGATGAAACTTACGATAGAAAAAATACCAAAGATTTCAGAAGAAGATGGAGAGTCCAAAATGGAGGATAAGGAAATAGAAAAGACTGAAAAAATCACTTGTACGTTCTATGGTGACTTTGGTCTTGAGAACAATCCAGTTACTTATCAAGATGCCATAAAAGTTTATTCCACCCTCTCTAAGTTGCTGGGAGCCAATGGGGAGAAGGCCGTACCAGTGACAGTCTGGCTGTATCCACTAATCAAGCAAGATTCCAGAAGCACTCAGCTGATACGTGAGATCAGCGTAATGCTGATTTCTAATGTTGAAGCTGTCATGGAGCACCTCACAGAGTTGGACATGCGATGCAATGACATGATGAAGGACAGAACTGCCACAACTTTCCCTGAAATCAAGAGGAAAGTTCAGCAATTCCAAGCGCTGTGTAATCAGTACAGACAGGCTTTCCAGCAACAGCTATCAGAACTCATACCCTGTATCCGTGGAGGAGGAGCAGAGGAAGGGGCCCTGGTGGACATTTTAAGCAGCAAAGAACAATCACCATTCAATACACAGAGACTCAATGAATATCTGGATACAAAGGAGCGAGAGATGAATTTAGTGGATTCCTACCTTAGTGTGCTACAGAATGTGGAAGTCGTATCCTCCGAGAGTGAACTAGAAAAAATAGTACTCAGCCTTAAGCATGATTCTGTTGTGTCTTTCACACTCACTTCAATACACAACAAAGAACCATATTTATCAGATTTGAACTTTTGGCTTCAAAGACAGTTTCTGGAGAAAATTCAAGAATCAGCACCAGCCAGTTCTCCTGATGAGAAATCAAACTCCAAACAGTGGTTTGTGGATGAAGAGATAAGAAGAAAAGCACGAAAATTCGCAAAGTCCTTCTTAGACTTTACTAATGTCAATAAATCTCAAGCAAAGACCCGGTTCATTGTGGCCTCCGTTCCAGATGAGGACCATCCAGGAGCTTCGATTTACCTGTATGCAGATGGAGAGCTGGTCAGCCCCAATTTTGAGCCTCCATCAAAGCCTCTTCCTGCCCTGATTGATGGAATCAGACATGACCGTGTGCAGCTCACGTTTAACCCAGCAGCCTATGGCAGGGCTGCGATATCCGGCTATTGGGCAGAGTACAGAATTGTAGGGCAGGAGAACTGGACGGCTGTGGATGTAAATAACACACAAGTGACATTTACAGTAACAGGGCTACGTCCAAACACCGAGTACCAGTTCCGATACGCTGCAGTGAGCAAACCAGGGCTCAGCGAGAGCAGCGACGTGAGTGATCCTGTGAAGACGCTCCCTCCTACCAGCCCTCCTGCAAAGCCTAGAAAAACTATTGTAGGTTCATCAGCCATCACCCTCACCTGGCAGAGTCCACATGTCACTGGAGATGGAGTCAGTATAAGGGAGTATAAGGTGGAATACAAAGAGAAGACAGGAGATACGAGTCAGGAGGGGAAAGACAAATGGCTGGAACGAAGGACAGGAGAGAGAACAGAGTCCTGTAACATTGATGGACTGAGCCCTGAGATGCCCTACAGGTTCCGAGTGTCGGCTGTGTGTGTGGACAGAGCTGTGAGTGACCCAAGCAAGGAGACTTCTATCTCAACGCTAAAGAAAGGTAAACATTTAAGTAAATCTGCGTATTATTCCCTCAACTACAGCCCTCTAATGCCTGGAGCTACTGGATCAGGTAAGAGATTCCTTATCAAGGGCATGAATCTAAATTATCCTGGGTGTATAATGCAGGCTCGGCTTCCATTCAAATAATGAGTCCAAGTAGAAATAAATCCTAGCTTCCAATTAAATACCCGAGCTGGTTCCTATTCGTGGACTGGGTGGCTGAGGTGATCGATGCCCCAGACTCAGGGCACAGAGTGGATCAACATAAGAACGGCCATATTGGATCAGACCAATGGTCCATCTAGCCCAGTATTCTGTCTTCCAGCAGTGGCCAATGCCAAGTGCTCAAGAGGGAATGAACAGAACAGGCAGTTATTGAGTGATCAATCCCGTCGCCCACCCCCAGCTTTTGGCAAACAGAGGCTAGGGACACCCGGGGTTGCATCCCTGCCCATCCTGACTAATAGCCATTGATGGACCAATCCTACATGAACTTGGTTAATTGTTTTTTGAACCCAGTTATAATTTTGGCCTGCACAACATCCCCAGCAACGAGTTCCATGGGTTGTGCATTGTGTGAAGAAATACTTCCTTTTGTTTGTTTTAAACCTGTTGTCTATTAATGTCATTAGGTGATCCCTGGTTCTTGTGTTATGAGAAGGAGCAAATAACACTTCCTTATTCACCTTCGCGACATCATTCATGATTGTCTAGACCTCTATCATATCCCCCCTTAGTCGTCTCTTTTCCAAGCTGAATAGTCCCATCTTTTTAATCTCTCCTTATGTGGAAGCTGTTCCATACACTAATTATTTTTCTTGTCCTCTGCACCTTTTCCATTTCTTATATATCTTTTCGAGATGGAGTGACCAGAACTGCACACAATATTCAAGGTGTGAGCACACCATGGATTTATATAATGGCATTAGGATATTTACTGTCTTCTCATCTATCCCTTTCCTAATGGTTCCTAACAGTCCGTTAGCTTTTTACTGCCGCTGCACATTGAGTGGATGTTTTCAGAGAACTATCCACAATGACTCCAAGATCTCTTTCTTGAGTGGGAACAGCTAATATAGGCCCCATCATTGTGTATGTATAGTTGGGATTATGTTTTCAAATATGCATTACTTTGCATTTATCAACATTGAATTTCATCTGCCATTTTGTTGCCCAGTCACCCAGTTCTGTGAGGTCCCTTTGTAGCTCTTCGCAGTCTACTTTGGACTTAACTATCTTGAGTAGTTTTGTTTATATCTGCAAATTTTGACGCCTCACTGTTTTCCAGATCAGTTATGAATATGTTGAACAGCACTGGTCCCAGGACAGATCCTTAGGGAAACCACTATTTACCTCTCTCCATTCTGAAAACTGACCTTTTATTCCTACCCTTTGTTTCTGATCTTTTAACCAGTTATCAATCCATGAGAGAACCTTCCCTCTTATCCCATGACAGCTTACTTTGCTTAAGAGCCTTCGGTGAGGAACTTTGTCAAAGGGTTTCTGAAAGTCCAAGTACACTATTTCCACTGGATCGCCCCTGTCCACATGTCTGACCCCCTCAAAAACTTCGAATAGATTGGTGAGGCATGATAGCCCTTTACATAAGTCATGTTGACTCTTCCCCAATAAATTGTGTTCATCTGTGTGTCTGATCATTCTCTTCTCTACTAAAGTTTCAACTAGGGCTGTCAATTAATTGCAGTTAACTCAGTGATTTATGTTCTTATGATTAACTCAAAACAAATTAATCATGATTTAAAAAATTAGTTGTGAATAATCACAGTTTTGATTGCACTGTTAGTACTAATTGTTGTTACATTTTCTTGAACATTCCATTCTTTTGTAACATCCAAGAAATGCCCTACACATGTTTTAGCATAATCTCTCTTCATAGAATATCAGGGTTGGAAGGGACCTCAGGAGATCATCTAGTCCAACCCCCTGCTCAAAGCAGGACCAATCCCCAGACAGATTTTTACCCCCATTCCCTAAGTGGCCCCCTCAAGGATTGAACTCACAACCCTGGATTTAGCAGGCCAATGGTCAAACCACTGAGCTATCCCTCCCCCTTCAGTATGTGTTACTATTAAAGCAAACAACTGTAGTGTCCATGCAGCATCAGACGGGTTTGCTGTGACTCCAAGAGAGCTGTGATTGCTCCAGGATGTCCAGTGATCACCGGTCAAAGCAACAGCTAATGCATTTTCAAAAGCTCCAGCGTTGTAGTCTTCTCATTGCAATACAGGTCATGTGTTCCTGATGCAATGGGAGGGCAAGGCACATGACTGATTGGAAGATGCAATTTGAATAATATCTCTTACCCTCTGTTGTTTACAATGGTGAGTGGTCTGCAGTCCATAGCTATCCACTTTGCAATAGCATTGGTTAAGCTGTTGTACTGTGTTTGATTCATGGGCTTGTAGCAATCCTGAAACTCTGTCATAGCT